CATCGGCTAAAAAAATGAATACGAAAGTAACGGTGCGAAAACACTCCGGCTTTCTTCCGGCCGACGTATTTACTTTCGTTTTCCGCTAATATTCCCGCGTCCCTTTTGCGAAAGGAGCGCTTTCTCTCCCCCGTCAGGCGATATGTCTCTGTCCGGAAAATCCACCGCCCGAAGAAAAATGACGAAGTGTATCCGACGCCTCTAAGACGACACCTGTTTACTTACTTTTATTTTTCTAAGGGGAGCATTTATTATTCGGAGAATTTTATTAGTCGACGTATCGCAAATGATTCCGTCTGGAAAATTTTAACAAGGGATAAGGCGGACGAGGAAAACGGGAGCGAATTGTTTTCCCGTTAAAATTAGGCTGCAGTTTTGACAAGGATGTATATGAGGGAGGACGAAGGGAAGATTAAATGAATTTTTGAAATTTTAATGTGGCTTTTTACAGAAAGTTTCGGAGAACTTTATATGGAAGATTTTTATTTTTCATGAATTTGAAAGGAATTTTCTGTTAAATGAAACAATAAAATAATGCCATAAGGACTAACTGAAATCAAAAATCTTCAATCAAACAGTTCAAGAAAAATCCCAGAAAATAAATTCTCTAAAAAAATAAAAATTATTGAAATAATCTTAAATATATAACAATAAACACTGCAAATAACTTATTAAAAACTATCTACATATTAAAATGCTAATTCAATTCTGGCAGCACCAAATTTTTTGACCGAATAAAGTAATTTCCAATTCGAAAATCAATTTTCCCCGACGAGTAGTCGTTGAAAAGAAAACTCCCTTTCGACATTCGAACGAAAAGAGTCGTTAGAAATACCGACAAGAAATTTTCGAAAAGGCAACTCCGTGTTTATCGCTTTTCCATATATTATATTTCGTTTACTCCCGCTCGGATTTAGCGGAGGTTGAAAAGAAATCTCGCGTAGGAGAGGCCTCGGAGTTTTTGTTTCGAGTGGCAATAAAAACTCCCCTTCGCATTTCCAGCCGCTGGATGAGGATCTCCAGCGGGGCCTTCGCCCTCCGCCAGGCGGCGCTGGACCACATTGAATCGGAAAAACCCGTTGAAATATATATGCGGGGTTTTCAACTCGACGCGCGAGAAAAGTTATTAACGCGAATACCCAAAAGTTTTATTTAAAAAAATACATACTGGGTGGAAGTATAAAATCTGCACGTGCTATTGTAATCACGATAATGATTGACACCTTACATTTTGAGTCAACCCATCCTGAAGCAGTATTTTTTTAATTGAAGAAACCTTTGCAAAAATTCCATCTTTCATGTTAGCCCGGGTGAATGATAAAAGGGTTTTTAATCGAAATGGGGACCGAACCAAAACGACTACAAATCGTAATTACAACACTATTCATTAGAATCTCGAAATGAATAAACGGCTTAATTACGACGACGTAAAGGGTAATAAATTACGTCCGCCCGCCCCGATATTCGTTCGGAAAGTCGAAAAGCACGAAATGGAATATATGTAGGCAACAAAAATAATTAACTTAACAAAGTTGCAAGCAAAATCAATAGAGAATTTATTCGGAAGGTACGCGAAACTTGGTCGAGTTTTCTCTTCGAAAACAACCAGGGATTATCTACATTTTTTTCGTGATGCTTTTAAAGCGGAAAACGAGTGGGTTTTTATACAGAATGGTCCTCTCCATGCGAATCAATCTCTTCAAAGAAAACTACACATTTACCGTTCCTCCTAATTTAGAATTTATAAAAATTCTAACAACACAAAATAAAAATATTTTGTAACATACAGGATGTTACACTATAGGGAGACTATAATATTGATTATAGGACCATCTTGGGCCACCCTGTGAATGCCAACATTTTTTGGTTTTTAAGGATTCCTAAAATAATGGGCTGCCCGCGTAGGTGGGATAATTAATACCTGGATTAAAAACGAACATTTTTATGTTGGATTAAAAGTTGTTTTGTATGTAGGAAATTTTAAAATGTCGGTGCTTAATTAAATGAAAGGTGGATTATATAACATAATTTTGACAGAACGTATTGATTTCATTAGGTACGAAGTATATTCGAAGTAATTATGTATAATGAATTTTTAGGATTTTGAATGTTCTTCTGGCTTTGCTAATGGTTTAATTTTTTCATTGTTTTCCTTAATTTTTTTTGTATTAAATATTTTATTAAGTATATTAATTTTTTTAGTAGATAATTTCCTCTATACAGGGGGTAATACTTTGGCTTATTTCATGACTAAAAGTGCATATAAACATAGGTCCGAAAACGCTTCGTTACGAATCTATATCTACCAAATATCTCAAAAACTGCCTGTAGATCGGTTAAGTTCCTATTTTCAATTATGAATTGGAATTAAGATTAACGCCCGCAGAAGCAAAATATTCTAATAGAAATTCCGCCAAACGAGGACACCTGAAAATATCTTCATTTGCTGCAACGAAATTCCTGGTTGCAAAAAGCTAACGTAGCTTTGTTGCAGAGGAGAATGTTAATATTAACCGTCAGTAAAAAAAAAACAGGAAAAATCCACGTCGTAATTGCGGCATCACGTGGACTGCTCACTCCATAGCGCCCGGTGTTCCAGTCCAGTCACTTTGAGGAGTCGCTGTCGAAAATGCAACGCGTTTTCCGGGTATTCTCGGGTATTCCGGGTCACGTTATTTAGTCGTTTTGCGCCCGCTGGCCCATCGGACTGCGACCGTGCACCGAGTAATTCCGATTTTTCGCGCAGTTTAACCGAAATCGTTTGCCATGGAACGAATGTTTCGCGTACTTTACGCGCCACCGGCGTTATTGGTTTATGAAAATTTATATTTATAACGGGGCGAGGGTCAATTCGTACAAAAGGCTATCGGAAAAACGCAATCTAATCTAATTCAATTGTTGTTGCATCCGTTAATGGTGGTTTTATGTAAATTCTTGTTTTCCACTGTTCATTAATAAAATGGATTATTTTTAAATGAATGGAACACACGAAAAACATGTTTGATCCTTGTTCGCATTTGCTGTTTTATATTTTTTATTTTCCTAATGCCGAGCTCAATTAAAAGAGGCCATTTTTTCGACTGAATTTACGATAAATAAATTCATGAATTAATAAATTTATATCGAATTTCGGAACACCCTGTATCTACAGGATTAATCCATCCGCAAAAATCCAGTAGTGGCTGGCGAAAGTAAACGCAGAAAGATGTAAGACATATCCAAACTGAAGATTTTCCTGCGGAGGAATTTCTCCCAGGAAGTGACAGAAACTTTTCATTTCGTTTAAATGCGCAACTGATAAAAAACTTTTCTCATTCGAATGTAAAAGTTTGCGGGAGTGTTTAAGTTCTTTTTTCGGCTTTTTTTATCCGTATATTTTCCTAATGAATTCCGGGCCCCGGATTTGAAGAAGTCGATGAATTTTTTTAACTCCGCGCTAATCTTGCTCCGTATACAAGTTTGGAGCTATTATCAATTCCGAATGTTTTTAAACGAAATCAGGCCCTGGAAATCTATTAGTGAGTTTGTGGTATCATTAATAGCACTTTCTTGTTTAATCTAATGTTTCTTAATTTTGAGGGATACCCTAGGTATATACAAAATGTATAAAAATTGCATACAAAAATCCATTCAAAATATTAGATATATACTACCAAAGAAATGTAATTAAACCATGTAAATAACGCCAGTAATTTGAGCGTCTTGCAACCAAAACTGATGAAAATTAATATTTAAAGTTCACGTACGGTTTTTCGCTTGAGAAAAGTTCGCTAGTTACTATGGTAACCCATAGTGTAGACGTATACGTATTTATTTGTGCATGGAATTTCGAAAACCAGTATAAAGTTCGCAACGAAAATGTTGACAGGGTAATTTCAGGTTTTTAATGCAGGCCGATGAAAATTGCTTATATTGGCTGTTTCGGTTGTTAATTAAAATGAACATTTTCTATTAGCAGTTTGAAAATACATTTTTATTTTGAAATTCATATTTTCGAACAAAATTTGCAAATTGCATGTCCTTTTATGCTCAACTATTAAAAAAAAAAAGTTTTATTAATTTGATGGACTTTTTCATTACCCTAATTTAATTTCATAAAAACTATCATGCATATATTTGGTTTGAAATGCCAAAAAAAACCCATACTTGAAATTAACTTTATAAAAAACAACGTAAAAGCTAACTAAAATACATAGATACTAATAACAAACAAATCTGATATTATGGAAAACCATCTGCAACTAAATTATCATCAAAACTTACCGTAAAAAATACTATCTACTACATAGAAAATATTCTATAAAACTATTAAATTTTGTAAAAAATAATTCGGAATATACAGATAATTTTATTGTAACTTGCTAGTCACTATAAACTATACGTATTTAATTTAGTCCCATTAATCAGAACCCCAATATTGATTTAAAAGTTTATACAAAATGATAAAAATAAATATTACATCATAAAAATTGTCTTGTTGAAAACAATATTTCACAGAGAAAATATGACGTCTGATCGCAATTTAAGTAGGTATCTATACTGCCTTATCTTTAATAATATCTTTAATAAATAATATGATTATAGGTTCTAAAAATATAATAACTAATAAATAAAAAAACTTAAAAAAATAGTTACTAAAACTACTTAAAAAATTATACTTTTCTAATAGTTAATAATAGAATATCAAATCTAATCATAGAATAAATCTAGGTTTCATCAAAGGACCACATTTTTTATAAAAAAACCTAAAAATAAAAATTTCAATTCATTTATTAGAAACCACCCTGTACTTTAATATTATTTTTCATATAATTCATTAAAATTAAATATAAATCAATTACTAATTAAATTACACTTAACGTTACTCCCAAAGAGCCCGAAGAATTAGCCTCCAAAGAATTTCAGCGCGAGAGCGTGATTTTCCCAAATAAAAATTACCAAAATTTCGCCATTACCCCTGGCATTCGAATTCAAAAATAACCGAACCCCTACGCACTCACCTTATTGTGCACGACGACCCACTAAATCACCCCGAACAGCACACAAAAAAAATATCCAAACGAAACAATTTTTTCTTATTATTATCCGCACTCACGGAACACCGGGAGAGTTTTCCACGCGACGTGGAGGCCTGATGGAAACGGGCGCGCTATTTCCGCGATTTCATCACGCGCACCGCGCTGGAACGACTGCGAATTCCAGTCGCCGGCCGAGGAGAAGACGGCCAGCACGGCAGGGAGCACTTGGAAAACCTTCGGCCCTTCAGGGCGCAGCCGCCCGATTTGCGGATTCAGGCATTCCGAAGCCTAGGTTTTTTTAACACCTATAAATTAATCGTGAGTTATCTTTTGGATTAATCTCGTTTGATGACGAATAGTTATAATTTTGGGCGAATTTAACGAACTTCGAAGTTTTAATTAATTTCTGGAACGAAAACACGAGTGTATAGAATTTGAGAATTTTGGTGGATGGTTTAGTTTCTGCATACACCAGGATTTCGATTACGTTTGATATTATAGGGTTTGGAGATTTTAGATTTTAGTGATGGAAATTGAATATTCGTCGTGATTCTGAATACTTCTGAATACTAGAATTTTTGAATAATTATAGGAAATATGGATTGTATGAAAAAATCATACTTCCCAATGACAATGTGGTTGTAGTTTTAAATTAACATTTTGATTTATTCCAGAAATTTATTTTTACTGCTCCTTTAAATTTCCTATTTTTTTAATTCTTTTAATAGATACCGCAAAAAATTAGCGAGAATTACTATAAACTTTCATTTAAAATAAAACAATGATTTTTATAGGATCCAATTTATTTACATTTAATTGTCTATTTGAATAATAAAATAAATATTGAATGCGTGCATAGAAATTTATTTGAAAGATTTTTAATTAAAATCAAATGAAACAATTTTAAATAAAGAGAATAAGTATCACGGTACCATGTTTTAATTAAATAATTTGTTATGTCAACGATATCTACATTGAAATAATGCCGGTGAAAAATTAAAGGAAAATGTTAGATTAAAAAAATTTCTTACTTTGTTGGGGTTGCTGTTTTTATTCAACAATTTGTTGGTTCCATCAATTTGCCTTATTGGACATTTGAAACACTTTTATGAAAAATTATGTGAGACTTTTTTATTCTCTTTTCCTCTCTTATATTTTTCGATATTTCGGGATGCTTTTGATTTTAAAAAGATTTCTAAATTCCTAAATATCTAAGCCAATTATAGAAAACAGTAGGTACGAAAAGTGAATTATAAAAAATTTTTGCTCATTCCAAAAAAATAATCCCTTTAATTTAAATCGCAAGCCTGTATCATTTATAACAGTGTTGAGGGGATTTGTTGTTTCCCTCTTCCAAAGCCATCAGATCTGAAATATAATCGATTTCTTTCGGAGGAGCGAAATGGAAACCCGACGAAAAAGTCGCCGGATTATGACTAATTAAAGAGTTTCCGATGTGAATTAATAAAAAGGACTCGGGCGAATCCAACCCAACAGCCTGAGTGGCGCTTATTAAAAATAATCTCTTTGAATTTTTCATTGCATTCGGTTATTACGATAAACACACCCGGTCATCAGCGTTTAAATCAAAAGCAAACAAGTATTTAATCGAATCCCGTGTAAAAAACGAATAAAGTTTCTTCAACACACAAAATTTAGCAAAATTATATAGGGTGTCTCCTAAAAAGTACTTGAAAATTTGTCATAATAAAGTTAAGGATAAATAAAAGCGTTAAGAAACCGTCTTTTATAGAAAACAATTTTCGGGACATCCTCTATATAATGCCAACTTTAACGATAAAAATCGGATAGTAACAAAATTAAACTTGGACAATAAAACGAGCAGCAGTAATCCCCTCCGAGTTCACTAAAGCCCTAAAAACAATCTTTAGCCGAGGGGGTTAGGAGGTCGGGTCATCTGGAAGTGTATCGACACTATTGCCCTTTTTGCAATCAATCAGTCGAAGAGCCCTTACCTGTCAGAAGAATCCCGCTGTTCGAACGAGCGACGGTCGATGGCCGCAGAGAAGGGCTAAAAATTCCGGGCCACAGATTAGATCCGGTCGATCGTAAAAGCGTAATTAAATTATCCTGTGATTTATTTTCCAGTAATTAAAGTAAATATGTCCCTTCATCATGGTCGGATCACGCGAAATCTTACAAGTTAAGCAACCCATCTTACACATGCGGTATTAGTTGAATATATTTTTAATATACATATACTACAATTATTTTTTGATAATAGTAATAAATATAATTTTAGCTACATTCCACCTATTACTCGTATATTGAGGCATGAATAATAATGAAATTTCACCCTCTTTCCTAATAGGGCTAATTAGGAAAGTATACGCCCGTTTTTTATTCGGGCCTGGGGTGATATCATCCGCAGAGGGCACTCTCTTAGATTTTTCGGATTTTTTCCTCGACCTCCGGGTCCGGATAGCAATTACCGTATCCCCGAAAAGCAATAGATAGAATCGAATTACGCGACGCCGGGCGACTGATGAAGAAGCGGGGGATAAATAATATTTGCCTTCGGCTGGCTCGGGCGAATTGGGGTCGCAGGGCTGTGGAAAAACCCAGTCGAAATTTTCATTACGCTTTCGGACACTCGTCGTGTTTTCCTTAATTCGAAGAAAGTGCTTTTTTACATTTCCACTCTATGGCGTTAGATAGTTGGGAGTAATTAAATAAATTTATTGCCCTGCGAATTGCGTACAGGGTGGTAAAAGTTCGACGTTTTAACAGACAATATTATAGATTTTTGAGGGAAAAAATTAGTATTCGTTTCTTGAAAAAATAACATTTTGGGATAAGGAGAGCTTTCAAACGATATATCACAAGCCTACATTCCCATTAATAAAATTCGGCGTTGTAACTGTCCTTCAAAGTGGGATAAAGAATATCAATTTAGAATAATTATAAATTTAATTATTAAAAGTTGAAGTAATTCGAGATTTTCTATAAATCCGAGTATGTAGGAATGGTATACGAAATAATGAACTTAACCAATTTGGCGTTTCCACCCTGTATATCAAAGTAAATGAGTTTTGTATACAGTACTATTGGACACACTGTATAATATCGGATTTTTCTCAAGGATTCTTGTATAGTTTCCTTTTTATCTGGCGACACATGTAGCATTGTGCCTCCAAAAATAGCCTCTACTATAGGTATAAAATGAAATGCTACTATATTTTTACGAAACTGCCATCATTCTCAACACATTCCGCCGTAATAGTTTCCCGGATTTTCATTAAATTACGAAATTTCTCGTCGACGAGCGGCGACAAAAATCGCGCACTCGCATCAACCTCATCTCAAGCAACGACTTTTTTAATAAAATTCCTCGTAAAAGCGAGTTTTAGGTGAACAACGACAGCCAAAACGGCCATCAAAACCCTTCGCCCGAATTGATGATGACGCCCTATAGCGAAGGACGCGTCAATTTTCAGTTTGTAACTATCGCTTTTCCGCGCCGAACGCAGATTGACGGGCCACGGTCGGGAAAACCCGTCGTTGTCTATGAAAGGTTTTGCTTGACGACGATTTTTCAATACGTTTATAATTCGCTTTTCATTCTTCCTATACATCAATATTAGCAGACAAAAAAGTATTTTTATACAGCGTGTTTCACGTGCAGCGTGTTTCACGTACAGCGTTCATTATTCAATGAAAATATCTTCAATTTGCTGTTATTTAGGGTTAATAAAGAATTTGAACTATTACAATTTTAGCTTTAGCTTAAAGAAGGCGTTGGACCTAATGATGTAATGATGGTCATTTTAAATGACCCACTAGATCGCCTGGCTTAAATCCTCTGGATTACTCTATTTTGTTTCAGTTTAAATTTAATTATGTGCTATCGTTATGACATGTATTGTACATAGTATATAAGTACTGAAGGTAATTAATACTGATTATGAGCTTCTTATGATATTTTGAGAGAGATTTTGATATTCTTTCCATTTTTTGTAACAATCAAGATTGCACGATATGATGTGCCTGAGGTTGATCAGCATAGGTGACGAATACGCCACCTATGATGTCATTATTATGCAATTGGTAAATGTGGCGAAAATTATAAAAAAATCTTAATTTTCACAGTAGAAGTTTGAAATGGACTACTACTGTACCCCCTGGTTCATTTCAGTTTGTAATATGGTCATTACTACGAGTTGAACAAACAAAGATTACTACAATGACAGTTGTCAGAGTGAAAAGTTGCAATGACAAACTATCACTCTTTCTTTTTCTTTTATAATGGGTCGATTCTGAGAACATCTGTAAGACCTATAAGCCAAAATCTGTAAAAGTTACAGGAAATGCAATTCTATCCTCATCTGTTACTTACAGATTCGCTTACAGATTCGTAAATATTTACAGGCTAGACATCAGTCACTGTAAGCGGTACAGAGTGTGGTAGAGAGCATTAAAAAGCATTATTCCTTGTGTTTTGTTGTGTGAACCTTACGGGTGTTTAAACTATACTGTTCCACAAAAGTTAAGGAAGTTCACAAATATTGGGATTAATTTAAAAGTTGCAGGTTTTTTGATCACCAAATTTATGGGTCGATTCTGAGAATTTACCTATAAGCTACAGAATCTGTAAGAAATAGTGCCTGTAACTTGAAACTTTACAGATTTGTAATATTTGCTATTCTGGAACCAAATCTGTAAAAGTCAAGTTACAGATCTTTACCTTATAGGTTTCAACTTCACTCATGTTTATAATGTCAAAATTATAACCTCAAAACAATTAAAAGCTGTGTCTGCTGTGTACCTATCATAGAGCTAATAAACCGGTAATATAATATATAATAAAAGAATGGCGTAAGTAAACTACTGAAACAATATAATATGTATATGTATAAAGTATAACGTACTATATAACGTATGTTTTTATGTAGAGCACAAGGTGTTAAGAGGAAAAGAACAAAAAATACGTCTCCAGATCAATTAAAGTTATATTTAAATTTTATGGAAAATGATTACATTTTTCGTAGCAATACCATAAATCCTACAGTAGATCCCAATTATTTAACGAAAAAGTGGGAAGAACTTGCAGGGCAATTGAATGCGCTTGGAAATGGCCCCTCTCTTTCTGTTGAAGAGTGGAAGAAGGTAAGCAAATATTTATGTTTATTACTTTGCTGTTTTCACCCCTTATATTTTTTAGAAATTTTTGGATTGGAAGTATGCCACAAAATCAAAATATAGAAAAATAAAAACCCTTTCAAT